TCATTTTTCCTACAGATGAACTTTCATTAACTGCTTTCCCTAATAATAAGAAGGCATCACCTGTCACCTTGTCTTCCTAATGAGTTCTTGAAAACCATCAGGGGGTGGCTATCTTTTCACCCTGGAGAATCCACTAGCTGTCATTCTGCAATAAATTACTTTCTATCCTGTGAACCTAGAAAGCAAAAAAAAAAAATTGTCACTGCCTATCAACTTTTCTATTCTTTGCAGGGTACTTTTCAAATATTACATAGTTGAATTGAATATTAAGTAGACGTTTTCAGGTGTACCAGATATTCTTATTTCTAACAAGGGTATTTTGTCTCATTATGATAATTATAACTCTGACTCCCTGAGATTATATTCAAGAAACAATTGAGTTCCAAAAATTGGAATCAGTCAAATATTTAGAGTTCTCTTTACATAGAAGTTGCATTGACTTATGACATAAAATTTGATCAAATATACATTACGTGGTTTTCAGAAAACTCTATAGGATGTAATTTTGGAAGCAAAAAAGTGCTTAATAAGAAGTTTTCAGAAGTTTTCTCTTAGTGGACAGAGGACAAAATGAGAGAAAAGTAAGAAGTGCGGAAAGAACTTCTTTCTGGACCCAATGTTTTTAAGTACCTGAAAGGTAGGCCCTCAGGAGCTTACAAGGTCATGTGTCTAATTCTAATGGAGCAGACCAGAAGACCAATCACCACTGCCCATGTACAAATTAGATTAGCATACATAATCCTTTCAACAATACTCAAGGAAGGCTTGAAAACCAGGCTTCGAACTCCAAATGCAGAGAAACATAAAATAGGTGAAAAATAAAACATCCAGCCAATTGTCTCAGTTTCACAAGGAACAGCATAGTTTTAATAGTTTCATTCCCACGGCCTCTTTCCAAATGTCCTCCCGCAAATATGTTTCCTGCAAAATCAATGTCACTCGCAGTCATTTGCATCAAAATTTTACCAATTGTACCTACTTACTCTTCAATCATTAAGAATCACACTAATCAGCAGGAGCTAGATTAACTTTGTCATGAACTTTAGGTTCTTTCTTGGTTACTTTTTTCTCACTGCTGGGACAAAATACCTGATGCCCAAAATTAAGGAAGGAAAGGTTTATTTCGCTTATAGTTCATGGAAGTTTCAATCCGTACTTGGCAGATTACAAGGCAGAGTGGCACATTGCAGAGAACTGCATCTCAGGGCAGCAGCACACAGCTAACCCACAAGCACTCACCAGGGCAGAATAGGGGAGGAATGCCCCAGGCACTCTTTTCCTGTCCCTTTCATATGCAAACTATCCACTCCCAGGAGGGTGCAGCTCTCACACCCATATTCAAACTCTAATAGCCTGCCCCAGGGCCGCAGGAAGCTTTGGGGGGACACACAGACATAAACCATAACAGGTTCCTTTCAGGAAACTTTAGAAAAGGTGCTCAACTTCTAAATTTGCGATATATGCATATTATTTGTTCATATGCATATTAAATAATTGCTTAAGATTTAAAAATATGTTAATATGAATGAATCAGTTAGTAATATGCTTTAGTAAAAAAAAGACATTGCTTGCACTGATAAATACACAAAACCAAAGGAAAAGCATCAGGAAGAAACTGCACAGTCACAAGAAATTCATGTTCAATGGACGAGTGGCTCAAAAAAAAATCAAAATCACCATTTAATTTTTCTTACTACCTGAATGAGAAGTTTGAGAAGATTCAGCAGTATTAAGAACTAGCCTTTTAGTCTGTTACATTGACAAAAATTTTTGGATAAGTCATTTGTGTAGGTATCTGATAAAGCAGGAATCCAATGAGTTATAATGGCCATGAAAAAGTTGATAGTAATCAAATATTGCTGTTCTTGAAATAAGTCCAAAATCTTAATTTGTGAAATAAAGAAATCAATATTCTGTACTATATTTTGTCATTGTGGCTACATGTACATTGATTTTGTAATAATAATCTTCCATGTTTTCTATGTTCTTGTGCTTGTTATTCCTGTTTAAAAGGGCACATTAATCCTGATATACACATACAGAAAGGCAACTCTTACTTATAATTGTGAAAGAGGAAAAACTGCCTAAAATTTATATGAAGGTAAAATAATGTAGAACATAGTCAATGGATTTGTGACTGTTGCCATCTTATAACAGAATTTATATGTATTTTATTTGGCCCGTGCTTTAGTCCTCAGAAGAATGAGCAGACAGGTACTAAGAGAAGCAAATCAGTAGGTGCGAACTTAATGGTTCTAGTAAACTCTGTAATGACTCCTCATGGGATATGCTAAGGTTATGCTAAATAGATTATTATAAATCAAAATGTCTTTAGGCGAAAATAAATTACTTCCAGAGATATTTAGCCTGCTGAGTAAGGTTTCTAACTCATTAAAATGATTCTTTACTTTATAAAACTTTTCTTAATTTCTTGTATTTTTTCCTCTAACTTCTATTTCCACATGCACTCACAATTTTACTAGATTTTATTTACTTTCAAAGTTTACAATATTTTCAATACTGGCTCTTATTTACTTATTATTAAACTTTGTTGCTTTCTTGATTAGGGGTATTGGGGAATTGGAGTATTGAGTATTAAGGAATTCGTGAAAGAAATGTGATACATTTATATGAGCCAGATATAAATAATACAAAATAGACACAGGCAAAGAATGGACCAAAGAGTGTTGCATGGAAGAATAGTCACAGTGATTCTTTACCTAACTGAGATCATGGTATTTATCAGCAGTGGAATATGTTTTCTTCACAAGTGGGTTATAATTTGTTTATCTTCACAAATATGATATATATATATATATGTGTGTGTGTGTATGTGTATACTCATTACTTTGTGGTATGAACGTTTGATATTTGTATCATTTTGAAGACATGACATATTTATATAACCAAGAAGTTGGAATTTGTATTCCCCAGTATAATGATAGCAACTTTTCTATATGCCAGGCTAATTCTCCAGTTCAGAGTTAGTAATACAATTGGATCAAAAGGAGAGCAGAATCAGTGGTGTACTGAATATAAACATTTCAGTGGGCCTTAGGTGTGAGATGTCATAGGTGCTCATCTAGCAGATGGGAGAGCGACTACTGGTTAAGTCTACATGTGGTCTTAGAAGAAGACGCGTTATACCAATGCAGCTATAAATGCTTGCATAATTCATTGTTTTAATAATTTTACTCTACTTTAAATTACTTTAATTTTAGTTCTATTTTTTCAATTTTTATTTTATTTTTAGTACATATTTTCAGTGTATGATGATGACATTTCTTGTAGGGAATATTTTATGTAATAATTCCTTTAACAAATTAAAATTGGCATATGTGCCAAATGGTCTGTTGGCTATTTGGATCACCTGCGTTGAGTTTTGAACTACCATCTGCACTCATTCAGTTTGTGATCTGCAAATAATCGGTGAACATGAGCTCCAGTGTGGGAAATAATGAATACCATCCTTTCAATTTCTTTGAACAATTTAGTAAATATAGATGGGTTTGAAAATAACTGCAGGAAAAAATAGATCCTGTTCATACTTGCAGCATAGATGCTGATAAGGGAGTAGAGATCACAGGAAAGAAATAGTATTGGTGATGAGATGTAGGGGGAGGTCGAGAGTAGGGTATTTTCTGAAAAGATACAGTTGGGTTGGGTAGAAGAGCAAAATAGTTACATAATACATTTATGAATATAAACTTTAGAAATGCTAATATTTGCATTTGTGTATTATGTACTTTATGTAACACTGAGATGATTCCTTACTTGTTATTTTAACACCTTTTGAAGGTCTATTACTTGCTATTTAATGTGTTAGGAAAATGATGGTTTTAAAAATGTAATATTAAAATTTAAAGAATATGACATTAAAAATATGATATTAAACATTACCTTTCAAGCAGGAAAAAGTAAACAGCATTAAAGTAATTGAGAGATGGGGGATATAGCTCAGTGGCACAGTGTCTTCCTGACAAGCACAAGGTCCTGAGTTCAATATCTAGTATCAAATAAATAAATAAAGTAATTGAGGTGCATATGTAATAAATGAATTAAAGAGGAATTTTCTGGGATATATTTTAAGGCTATTTAACCAGGATATTTAACTAAGAATACCTTTCTGTGGAATAGTTTGCATGCAGAACTTTAAAGGTTAAACAGGTATTGAGAATGTATTACACCTCTGAGGATAGAATTTTCCAGAAAGATCAGACAGTGAATGTATAGTAACAAAATCTTAGAAAACATGTTATATGCAAGAAGTCAAATGTCCACAGCATCCAATAATATAACTAAAAAAGAGTAAACCTTTTAGACATAGTCGTGTATTATGTCATGAAGTACATCATGTATATTATTATAATATATAATGATGGAGATTTTTCCCTGAGGAAACAAGTGATTTTAAAATGTTTAGATGAAGAGAAGACATGAAGATATTTGCTTTAAATAATATTTTATATTCATTTAGAAAATAAATTATCTTATTATTGTGTGAACTTAAATGAAATATGTATCCTCTGTTGGAATGAAGGAGCATACGTGTGTGTGTGTGAGCATGCCCTGGTATATCCACTACATTAAACATGCTAATTTTTCCTTGCAGATCTTCTGGGCCTTCGATGTTATCTTAACTTCGTTTTTGTTTTTTGTTTTTTTTTTTTTTGGCTTTTTGAGACAGGGTCTCTGTGCAGTTCAGGCTGGCCTTGAGCTTACTTTGTAGCCCAGGCTGGTCTCAAACTCACAAGGATCCTCCTGCCTCAGCCTCCCAAGTGCTAGGATTGCAGGCATGCACCACCATGCCTGGCTATCTTATCTTCTTGATGTGTTAATTTTGCTATCTTAACTTCTTGATGTATTGATTTTGCTTATTAGTGATTCATTCATTCTCATCTTTAGAGATCTTCTTAAACTGTAACAGTTTTACTTTAAATAGTAATTCATCAAAGTTAATGTAGCTCACCCAGCTATTCATTTCTCTAATTTTTTTCTAGCTCACCAATTCCTGATACAGCACAACCACCAGGAACTCCTCCCAAATGTTCTCAAAGAATATACTGTGTTTTCCTAGGTAAATCTAGTTTTTTCCTCATATTATTTTGCTTTATTTGTTGTTTTCCCCCCATCTTTAGGGGAATTAAGCATCTTTAGATTTTATTTTCTAATAGTGACTTATTAATATATCTTTCTGTATAAATTTGAGCTAGAAATTATCATATATACCTTTAATATTTCACAGTCTACTTCTAAATAGTAAATATTTACTCCATTTTATGCAGGTGTAAGTTCTTTGGAGGTTACCAAATTATACTGCACTACTTTCTTGGGGGAGGCATCATTAATATTTTGACCTCTCCTAACATTTCTGCCTGTCTTATACTTCTGGGGTTTGGTAACTCCAGGTATAGTGCACCTTTTTGTTGAGTTCCAATGGTTATTCCCTAGCTCTCTTACCTTTATTATATTCTAACCAGATAATAGGAAATATACACCAAGTGCCATGTTGTTCAATAAATCCCAAAGACTCATAGAATAGGTTGCTAAATCTAATCATATTTCTGCATTTTGACTTTGGTGGATTCTTCAAACAGTATCTCCTATTTAAAATTCACATGTTGAAATTTAGACAAATCAAGGCTTGGTTATGCATGCTTTTAGTGCCAGAACTCGGGAGACTAAGACAGGAGGATTGCCATAAATCTGAGCCTACCCTGGAGTACAGAGTGATTTCAAAGACATCCTAAAGTACTGATCGAGACAAGAAAGAAAGAAAGAAAAAAAGAAAGAAAGAAAGAAAGAAAGAAAGAAAGAAAGAAAGAAAGAAAGAAAGAAAGAAAGAAAGAAAGAAAGAAGAAAGAAAGAAAGAAAGAAGAAAGAAAGAAAGAAAAAGAAAGAGAGGGGGAAAGGGAGAGGGAGGGAAACAGAGACCATATTATTTCATGTTACTTTGAATCCCAAGGGTTTACAATTCAAGTTCTTTGTAAGCTCTTCCTTGAATTTTAACATTTCTCTGGGATGAACCTAAAACTTTCTGCCACTCACCAAGTAAGCAGGTGGAGACATCAATGGGTTCAGCATTCTTGTAGTCTCTGTGTTTGTTGCTAAGTCTTAGACCTGGCCTCTCTTACTGACAGGAGGAGAGGGTAATATTTTAAAAGCAAGTAAGAAAAGCCTCGGCATGCACAAGAAAGACAAGGCTCATTAATTCTCCTAATGTATTACTTGCTTCTCTAAATTTTTAGTCTTCTGTTGATATAGCTCATCAGGAAACGAACAGGCAACTTTAGCGGTACTGGTCCACCCATTTTTGAATAATTCCTGCATCCATATATTGAGCAGATCCTCTTCAGAAATTTAGGAGTTCATACTACTTACTACTGTCAGTTTTGGAACATTTAAGCTGAAGATCAAACAGAAGAGGAAATTATAAATTTTATTCGCTTGTTAAACATATTTCTAAGCAATATCTAAAATTTGAAATTATTTATGTTTTTCATATATAATAAGATTTTAAATCTTTATTACTTTGCTGTGTCTTTGGGATATGGTTCATTTTTAGTCAATTGCAATTTTTCAAGAAGTACAGTTATATTTAAGCTCTTACTTTAATGTTATTTTTAAACAATTTTTTGCTTTAAACTTACAATTCCCTCATTTTTATTTGGTTTTATTTTTTATGATTTTTAATCTTTTCATGTTATGTACAAAGTCCAGTCACCTTTATTATTTATTTTCCATAAATAAGTTTGCCTGTTATGTAACATTTCCTCTGTAAGTTTTTGATAATGAATGAATCAATATGGATATTATGACTTCTGAATTTATTTATAGTATTGATCTGTTTCTCCAGTTTTTGGAAACATAGTTGTATCATTTTATTTTCAATACTTCATAATGATAGAGCTTCTTAATCCATAGACTGCCTTTCTTCCTGAGGATTTCTTTTTCAGCACGTGTTTACTGTTCATACAGTTTACAGTCATCTCGCTGGATGATTACATGGACGTGCCACAGTTTGTTTCTTCTTTTTAACACCCTTCCGTTTCCCGTTCCCTCTCCCTCTCTGCCTCCCTCCTTTGTTCTCTCCCTCCTTCCTTCCTCCCTCCTTCTCCAATTTCCCCATCCCATGTTTCATTATTATTAATCTCAGCTCATGTTGTAGAATATAATTTTTACAGAGATTAAGACATCATACAACAGTGATACATGCATGCATACCAATGTTTATCGGAGCAAAACTCATACAGTAATAGCTATATCTTGCTATGCCTCTATACCCATTGATAGATGATTACATAAAATGTACAATGTCTACCTATAGCAAAATACTATTCTGCTAGAAAGAATGACAGATTTGAGAAATTTGGGAAAATGAATGCATCTGGAAAATATAATGTTGAGTGAAATAAACCAAACTTAGCTACTGTATAAGTCAGGTACTGACAAAGAGAATAATGAAAGATGAATAGAAGGGGGCAGGACATTGTACCTTAAGTTTTTAAGTGTATATTTTTGTTTAATCGTGATGTGCTTTCTAGTTGAGTACCTATATGGGTATGGATTTTGGAGATATACTGCAGCATTATAGATAATCTATGAATTCTCTTTATTTGAAAAAAATATGGTAGTAATAAATTGCATGCCTCAATGGATTTTTCTTAAGATTTAATTACTCCATGGCATAGCTCCTACTTGCCAAATGCAAAGTTCTGAGTTTGATTCTCAGCACCAGAAAAAAAATTAAGAAAAACAAAATTCATAGAGAAAGTTTTGGCACATTTCAAGAACTAAGATTTTGCAAGTAATATCAACTTCACATTTAGTTATTAGTGCATAGATGTTTAATTCTATTAAATGATGCTGTGACAGTGGAACAATATATTTTTATTGATATTTATTTGATACTGTTTAAGAGTCTCCTTCATCTTTGGACTTGATTGATCTCTTTTTGAGTGATTAATGTGAGCCTCAATAAAATGTATATTCTACAATTTTGGTGTGCAAAATTTTATAAATTGTTTGACAAAGGTTATGAATTGTAATACTGAATCCTTTACATTGTTATTTCTACTTAATATTTAATAACAGTAGTTTCTTAAAATAATTAAGATTTATCTGTTATAATTACTTTAATTGTTACTTTATAATTGATAAGGCAATATTTTGATTTTTTTCTCTTTTTTGTTCTTTTGAGACAGGGTTTCATTATGCAGTTCAGGCAGACCTTGAACTCACTGTGTAACTCAAACTGGCCTTGAACTCACAGTAATCCTCCTGCCTCAGTGTCTGAAATGCTTGGATTATAGGCATGCACCACCATGCTGGGCCACTTATTTTTTAATATTCATGATCAAAATATATTATTGACTTATTTTTTATCTAACAATAAATATATCACTCTTTGATCTGTGATCTTTGCTTCAATTTATTTTGGGAAAAGGTGTAAATAATTTTTACCACTAAGTGACTGATGGGATATTCAAACAAATTGGTTAAAGAATTACTTAAAATATAGTCCCATGAAATTCATGGATTTAAGTAATCTATGGCTTTGAACACCTCCACATGTAAAGAGAGAAATGTAAGGTGTCATCACTGGAATGAACAATGAGATGCATGCAAGAGGACAATAGTAAAACCTGGCTAAGGGCCAGTCAAATAGGGACCACTAAGGAAAAGCCATAGAAGTATATTCTCAGACTTAATTTGTCACTTCTCCTCTTCTATTTACAAAGATGCTCCACTAGCCAATGCCACAAAATAGCTTCATGGCAGGGAAATAAGGAGTTCTCTTTCTTAGATCAGAGGACAGTGTGAAAGAAAAGGAAAGAAGATTCTGCATTGGCAAATGGAAAATATGCACTACTATCTATTGTATTTGTCCCTTAGTATTTATTCTTTTCCAGGTTAAACAACATATATGGTTGCAAAAAGAATTTGCTCAATTCCCTCCGTTATCATACCATACAGAGTGATATAAAATCTGTCATACTCCAAGCAGGCCTGGAAATCTTCATACAGTTTATGATTAAAGGGAAGGGGGATTACTTTAAGTAACATAACAACAATGGCATCCAACTCTTTGCCTGAAAGTGAAGCCTAAATTAGTTTAACTGCTAGATTAAGACAATAGTCAACTCTGTAGGACTTCCAAAAGCTTTAAAATGCAATATTCTGAAAGAGGACCTTACCAATACATCTACTTAGTAAGAAGTGGGGAGTAGGATGCAATAACGATATAAGACAAACTCATTGCTCACAGTTGGGGGTGATGACACAAGAGCTATGACCAGGTAGGCACAATCTCACTTTTAATACGGCTCAGCAAAATTATGCCCTCCAGAATGGGAAGAATTCAGTGTAGTGTACTTGCAATGGGTTGACTATCTGTTCACACCAGGAAGCATTGTCAGATACTCAGAAACTGTAACTGAGATATATGTTCAAAGATCAAACCATGTTTGTGAACCAGTGCATACCTTCCATTTTTGCCTTACAGTACACTTTGTACATTAAATTCTTCACAGTCGCTCAAATGTGTGGCTGTGAAGAAAGTGAATCATATGTAATGATTTTCTGTTTGATTATAACAAAAATTTTCTGTGTTTATATCTTCTGGGCATTTGTGTTGCATGGAATATGAAAATTTCAATAGTATGCCTACGGTGAGAGGTCTTTCCACTATCTGTCATCACATAATAAGTTCTATTTTACCCACATTTCTGCTGACCTATATAACTCACCTGTTATTGCCAAGTGACTGATAAATATGCATATATTCCTCAGGTCTCTGACTTTACACAAGGAATATATACTGAGACCCAGCACTATTTTACCTTTTTCCAAAATTTCATTTTCAACATTTGAAACAGAATAGATTTTACAGAGATAACAATATGTTCTTTGCTCTGTTGTAGTATATGATTAATGTTTTCTCCCACATCTGTTCATTGTTATTTCAGGTCATTGATTATTTTGTTTTAGGTGCAATGAAACAAAAGTTGTAGGTTCCAGTACATTTACATCCAAATGTCTAATTATTCGCATATTAGTAATTCTCCAATATT